GTGCCTTACTGTGGGCCATGTTTGTGGCAAGTTTTATTTGCTGCTCACTGAGCTTGTAATTGGGATTTGACATTTGTATCCCATGGAAAGTGTAGGTATCATTGAGGAGTTCATCCCTTTGCTTGGAATTTGGGGACACTCCTCCTTTTTAACCACATTATCCCAACAAGGGCATGAGACTGAAGGTCTCCTCTCAGGTTGGAATTCAGACACTTTGCAGTTTCATATCCTCTCCTGAACTGTCTTTCTCACAAGATTTTCAGTACAAACTGTGTGTTGTTGTTTTGTGTTCAATGTGGTTGACAAATTTCCTCATTTTCCTGCTATCTGGCGCTTTCCTTTTGAACGTAACAGTGTTGCATTTTTCTTGGTCTTCTCTGTCTCATTTTCTTTCCACACAAAGTCTCTTTTTGTTGCTTGGCAGCATCCTTGCTGCATAGAACAAGCCTCTAATATGGTTTGGTGCCCATCTCTGATTCAGATTGCTTTCTAGCCATGGCAGATTCCTGGCCTATAGATAAAGAGCTGTCCATGCACATGTTCTGTCTTCATCTCTTCTTTCCCTGCTCATTCCCTGGACAGTAATATGATTTTGTACCAGTCTTGTACCACAGGCAAATTGTTCATAGTGCAATTGGGAGCACTGCTGGATTCAATTTTAGTGCCATGGTGTGGCACACCTGAGGCATAGCTGCGTTGTTCAGAAGAGTGGTTCATGGATGAATCATGCTCTTTAAATCTATGCTGTCAGCTAGCCATGGTTCCTGCTGCTTCTGTTTTTGTCTGTTCATTTTTCTGCTAGATCTCAAACTTGATCTTGCTGAAATACACTATTATAGGAGCCTGTTATGCTGCTATGTAGTATTGCAGGTCTTGCTTTCCACACAGCTATGTGGCTACCAAGAGGGCAATTTTCAGGGCATGAAGAGGCATGCTCAAATGCATCTCAGTTATTTTGTCTTTGTTGGAAGGATGAGTTTTCTTACCTCCTGCTTGTGTAGTGAGGATCACAGAACACAGGTGCTGGGGAGCTGGTAGAGCAACTGATGTGAAGTGCTCCTGAGCTGATGGTGTCTTCAGGAGGATTCAGTTCTTGTGCTTTTGGTTTTTTCCCAAGCTTGTTCTCTTCCATCTCCCTTCAGGTGTCACCTGTGCAGGCCGGGATCGCAGCACCTATGAGCCAATTGATCAGCAGGATGCCCCTCCACAGTGGCCTGATGCGAGCAAGACAGCCCAGCAGCCGTACTGAGGCCCTCTCTGCAACAGAGGACAGACGCTTCCCTCGCCCAGTCTAGCCCTCTGCTCTTTCCATGTCCGTTCTGATGGAGCAAGACCTGCTACTGAGCAAACAGAAGATGATCTGATTTTACATTTCTTTGCCTCACTGAAGGTTAGGCAGATGGGTTCCTGCAGTAAGTCCAGAAGGGCTCAGAGATGCCATGTTAAGCACTGTGACTCTTTGTAATCCCACCACTTTCCTTTCCTCCCTCCCCCTAAATCTTTCCTCTGTATGTGTGAGTGAATGCAGCTTCTGCAGTCCTCCAAGTCTTGTATTGTGCATCCTCTCTGTTGTAAGGGAACCACTCAAAATATTCCTGGACAAGATATCTTTAAAAGGCTTATGGACTGCCCTTAAACAATACAGTTTAGCTTGATTTTATGCAGATACATTTCCAGGAAACATCTGGTAGTTCCTGAGGGCTGTTTTTGATGGTGTTATTTAACTAAGATTTATGACCATAACTCCCTATGCTAGCAGTGGTGGTTTGCCCAAAGCTGGGGTTGGTATAAAATGCTCTTACTGGGCCAGGGAGCTGCTTGTGCTCCCAGTATCAAATCTTGGGTTTTATTCACTGATGCTTTTATGCAAGCTGAATGTCCTTCAGGATACTTAAAATGGCTGTTGAATGTAGGTTATAGATACTCTGTGCCTTGAAATGTCCTTTTGTCTTCAGCTGCCTATCTTAACAAAACTTGAAATGTTACATTTTTCTAAGAAAACTATAAAATGAACACAGTTGTTCTGTGTTAGAAAAAGTTACACTGGTCACCTATGTCTCATTTGAAAATGTAGGTATTCATGGGGGTTTGGGACTGTAGCCAGGCAATCTGCGCGAGTCATTATGGGGGAAGGTCTACGGGGCTTTGATGGCTTTTACTCTAGGTTTTACTCATACAAGTAGAGGGTACTGCTTGTAAATATGTGGGTGGGAAGGTGGGCTAGTAAAACGAGGATTGGAGAAAGGAAAAGATGGGTGTATTTACACTGCAGTGGTGAGCTCTGTGGGGTGTGACAAACTATAATCTTATGCACAATAAATCTTCCCTACTGTGGCTTTCTGATAAAATCCTAAAAAAAAAAAATGTTGAACAGGATTCTTTTCCAGAAGAAGAAGAGTATGTCAGCTTTGGCAGAGTGAAAACACTAGCGCTAGGAAGATCTGTGTTTTTCTGAAGCAGGTTCGTTTTCATAGTTTACATCTGTTATTCTATAATTGCATTTCTCTTTACAAGACCTGCTGATGCATTGACTCTTCAGTGACCAAGAGCCCTGTTAACTTTGTTCTAACCTCTAGAAGCATGGCATTTGTATTTTTAAAACCAAGCAACTTTCTCCTAAGTTTGATCAGTGTAAACATAAACAGATGCTTTCTCCACTATGCTGCACAAGCACTACAGTGACCTGCTGCTGTACCTGGAGTGTCATCATTTATGCCCAAACTGAGCACATGGCAAATGCCATAAAAGTGCAACAGTCTAGTTTACTCTCCTGAGATGAGCATTGTGCATTCATTTTGCAGGCTGCCATGCAACAGAGCGAAGGAATAGGAATCAGTCTGCTCTTGAGATCAGATGGGGAAGAAGAATAGATAGGCAGGCAGAAATTATTAAGGCTTGTGGAGTTGCAGAGCTGGCCTTTATATTCAGTTAATATTTTTTTCAGATCTTGAGAACTGCACAGTGACAGCATGGATGCCTGAACAACACCTTTAAATGCTCAGTTTTTTTTTTCCCTAGACCTGTGAAGCACAGACTGAAAGCAACTATTTTAAATGCAATATTTTTTGTGCGTTTTCATGAACAAAGAGTTACATCTAGTGTGGCCCTCCCAGCAGTTCTCCATTGTAAAAGACACCACAAAATCTATAGATAACCATCTAGCTGACCAGCTGTGTGTTTTTCTGTGGAGAATTCAGCACATCTGGGAGCTAAGGGGAGCAGAGCAAGGCAGGAGTTACACTAGGCTTACCATTCCTCAAGGATATCTTGGGATACTAGATACCAGGGATACTATTTTGGGCAGTAAATCAGAGAGGTGATGATAAAAACAAGGCCCGTCTCCCATTTTCTGAGGATGAGGGCGTTTGTTTCAGCAATGCTAACAGTAAGTGCCAAGGTGCTCTCGGATCAATACCTGATTTAGCAGGGCATGTGGGGATCCATCGAGCCTGTCATGCTGGAGCACAGCCTTGCTGATCCCAGCAGCCTGGCTTCACCGTGGGGCTCCTCGTAGCTTGTCAGCGGGATCTCCTCAGTGCAGCAGGTGCAATTCTCTGCTCAGGGTTTTTTTTTTTTTTTTTAAATCCTCAGGTCCTGATGTGCTGGGTTTTTTTCAGTGTGATGAGCAGGCAGCTCTCTAGGATTACCACAGCCTGCCTGGTGCAGGTGCCTCCCTCAGCCATATCAGCCCTCAGGCGGCACCACTGTCAGCCCGGCCTGGGCTCGCCCATGCTCTCCCCGGGCAGCTGTGGACCCGGTGCTGCTGAGTGGAGCTGGGACATGGCAGGTGAGGAGGAGGAGAAGGAAGAGAAGAAGGTTCCCTCTCTCCTGAGGCACTGCCCCAGGGGAGGAGAGCGGTGCCTCAGACGGGTAGGCCGAGCGGCACCGGGCCCCGCCTCGCCTGGGCCACCTTCAGCACAGACCTTGGATCAACCATGGGCGAGAGCCGTGTTCCCGTGGCCATCTGCAGCCCTGGTGACAGGCGGCGTTGCTAATCGCGGGGAATAAGCTGCTTACAGTGACCCAGCTGGAGCCGGCTGGCAGCCGGGGTTCAGGCGTTAAACGGGGGACAAAGCTGCAGGTTTGCCCCGGTGTTCAGAGCCTCGTGTGCCCCATCCCTGAGGTTCTGGCGAGGCCCAGCGGCATGTCCGGTGGTGGCTATCAGAGTAAGTGTCTACGAGGGGACCTGCGCGGGGGACTGGAGCCCTCAGCGGAGAGCAGGCCTGAAATGGCTCCCCTGGGCTGGGGCTGGGGGTGATGGCCCTCCTGCTCCCACCACCACATCCCGGGATTCCAGCTGGTTCTTGGCTGGCAGCGCATGAAGGGAGCTGCTGCGCGGCTGTTCCTCAGCTGCCGGAACGGTAACTGCCCTCTCTCTGGTTAAGGGAAGAGCACTTGTACGTGCCTGTTGATCTCCAAGTGGCAACGAGAGGCTTGTGCGATGGCAGTGATGGGATGGTTCAGTTTGTGAGACCTGAGGAGTGGGGGAAAAGCCTTGTTTCTGAGGCATGTGAAGTGTGATCACCGGTCCCAACCCACAACGTGAAATGGATCGGCCTTGGTCTGCAGGGATGGCAAAATCAGCATTGTCTGTGCAGTTCTCGTGTTTATTATGGGTCTGTCATTGTTATCAGAATGCGAAAATGGCATTCACTTGAAAGAGCTTGATTTACTTTTCATGAACCGTGCTATTTAATTTTTCTTATAACAACAGAAGTACATTGTTCAGCTTAATTTTTGTTTGCTTAATTGGATTTGTTTCAGGTTTTAATGCATTAGTGCGTTGCTGCAAAGTGTGCATAGTAAGCCTGTGTTAAATGTTTTAGTTGGAAACATAAAAGCTAGTATGAAATCCATTGGTCATGGATTTTGCAGTTCGCAAAATGTGCAGCTTGCTTTTTGCCATTAGAAGAAGTTTTTAAAAAGCCCTTCATATAACCTTGTTGGCTTTTGAGTAAGATTAACCACTGCTCGAAAGTGGTTACATTAGAGTCCTGAATGGCAATTTTGGGAAGGCAGACAAACATGATTTTTAAAGGACTCTTCTTGATCTCAGTGAGACTGAAATTAGGAATGAGTGAGGTGAAGAACACCACCTAAAATAATCATGGTAATGTGTTGGGAACTGGTATCTGGCAGAAAGAACTGAAATGGAGAAGTAAAAAAAAAAAAAATCATATGAGTTATCAAGAAAATATATTATGTCTAGGTCTTAAGTATAAAGTAGTCCAGTGCCAGATTCCAGGTGTTTATGGAGCAAAACAGCACTGATAAACATGATGGTTTCATGTCCTTTCACATTTCAAATCCTTTATAATGCTCTTTTGTGATACATTGCTGGTTGGCTGGATATTCCAGGGGTGTAAGGAGCACTTCTACAGAACACCAGTCCACTGCATTTTGTGGTTATACTTCATGCAGTGATAGGCACCCTAAAGAAAGCAGCCATGTTTTGTCTATTCACTCTGTAGTTGCCAACTTCTACTTGTCTGGAAAAAATAATGGGATCTTTCATGATACACTTGGTGATGTATGAAAGGCAGTAACAGCAGTTCCCAAGGATAATTGCAACACTGCATGACTGTCTCCTGTTGCTTTAGTAATTGAATTTACTCCCCAGTTTGTGGTGATTACTGAAAGAGTTTGCATGTGAGAAGGACAAGTGGGTTGTTTGCAAACAGGGATGACTGAGGCTCAGATGCTTTCTTAGAAGAGAATGAGATAAACATAGTTTGGGAACAGAGTGCAATTTGACAGGAGGTTTTCTGCTATTGGAGTATGTTTGAAAAGGGCAATGGGCATTGATTTCATAGGCCATGCTATCTCTTTCTTTTCAGATTGACTAGGGTTTTATTTTAAGATGATATAGGTATGTGTGTCTTCACAATACCATTTTAATTTTTTAAAAAGGGGGTGGAAACTAAACGGTGGTTAGAATGACCAAGATCAACAACTTGTGTTTAAAATTTGAGGGAATGAAAGCACAGTCCCGTCAAATTGCACTTACCTGTTAGCAGCAATTTATGCATCTGTGCTCGGCATGAGTGTTATATGTATAACTGTCTGACTTAGTGGCTAGACTGCAAATAAGGTTCTCCCATCTATACTGTAACTCTTCAAGGTTAGGGGACAATGTAGCTTCTTTGGATATGTAAACATGGTTTCATCCTTCAGTGTGGACAAGAAGAAATTGGCCTTGAACCTTTGCAGGGCTGCAGCATCATATGTGAACAAATCTTCACTTGTTAAGCACTTAAACTACCTTAAGTTGAGGCACTACCTTTCCTATCAACCCTGGAGAAAATACAAGTGTGGAGGAGATCTGAGCTGGATTTCCAATCAATGAAGAGGGGTAAGCGTTGTACTCCAGCTGGAGCCATGTTGCTTTGACTTCTGTAAAAACATTTCCTTTCAGGCTTGTTCTTGTTTGGTGTCATGTAGATTGGGTTAGAGGTAAAGCATTCTGGAAAAGCATCTGCAGACTACCTTGTCTTGGCAGCAGGATAATTCAGCCCTGGTACAAGTTTTTTTTGATGCTGCAGGTGCATGCATAATGCTAGAAGTCTTTGTTTTCCAGGTTTTCTGTTGAGAAGCGAGTCTATCCCCTTCAATAATTCCTGCTCTGCCAGACATGATTGTCTGCTGAGAAACAGGAAGAGAGTAGCATCAGTAATACTTTCAGGACTTAGACTGGTGGACTGGAGACAAATTCGTAAGGAAAGTACCCAAAGCCTTTGGCAAACTAGGCAAGATGTGATGAGAAATATGCGTGCTCATTTGTTTATATTTCTTCTTATTTTTCTTCAGAGCAAAGAAACATTCAGAAGAACATGAATGTTGATCTGTATTTGGGCACTAGAAGTTGAGTAGACATTTCTCATCACTGGCTTGAAGCTGCGGCATTCAGTGTAACTCCCAGCCAGACAGCAGAACAAGGCCAGCCGTGTACTGCACCTCTGTCAGCTGGGAAGAGAGATCCCAGTCTGAGACAGACTAATCTGCTGCCCTTCTCAGCCATTCTGGGACACGACCAGTCAGTTCTCCAGTTCCTGCTTCCTGCAGCAGAATAATCTCTGCCCTAGGCTGCAGCACAGCTCTAAGTGTGTGGCTCATAGGATTCTGCATCTTGCTTTGTCAGTGCTCCCTGCTGTGCATCTCCCTCGGAGACACTCAGGCCTTGAGGCTTGTAGTTTAGAAGGGGGAAAGAATGAGAGTATTGACTTTCTTCAACACCATCAGAAAGCAAGGGCAGTTGGTAGCTGCTCCATACACACTGCTTGCCATTGCTGTTTAGAAAGTAAGAACAAGAATAGCAACTCTCCAGTGGAAAAACAACAGCATCGGCCTCCCACTGCTGCTTGTATGGATCCTGTGAGCCCTTCACTGGCCAATGCACATTTGTCACCTCATACTGTAGATTCCCCTCCTAGGCACGAATCACTGGCATGTCCCTCTTCAAGGAGCTCAAGTGGAAATCTGAATGCTTGTTGTAGCTCAGCCCTGACCTCAAGGGATCTCGATTCATCTAGTTTGGAGTCCCTTCAGTCTCTTTTGCAGTCCTCACAGATTTCTGCTAGCTTGTACTGTTCAATCCAGAGGCTTAAGCAGGAAACTGCTTTGATGGGGATATGGGGCTCCCTCCCTCTGGAGCCTAAGTCTCCTCCAGTCAGTGGCAGTTTGTGCTTTGCTGCTGATGATTCACCTCCTAGTATCCTGAGCACAGGAGAACAACTAGGTGGAGTGAAGGCCAGTGCTGCTCAGACAGGATTGAAATGGAGAGTCCCATTTGCTAAAAACTGGAGCACTGGTACAGTGACAAGGGACTTCAGTCATGCAGAACCTCTCTCTGTCTCTCACAGATACAGATATGTCGACTCAAACACATGGAGAACCAAAATTTCAGGTGACATCCAGCCAGAAACCCTCTCTTCTGGGGTGGGCCCTGGCAGGCCAGTGAGTACAGGAGCAGATTACTCCTACAGTTGCTCCCCTTATTTCAGATGCCAGTCCCAGGCAAAGCCAACTTTGGAAACTGGTAGTCTTTATGTTCACACAAAAAGACATTCCCCTGAAAAGGTTCTTAAAGGAGAAGAGACACCTGATAGGGCATCCCTCTATGCTGTATCTTGGAAGAAAGACCTGCCAGCCAGTCTGTATCCCGAGGATCTGCAGGTGTCACTAGAGACGGATCTGGGGGGGGCTCAGATGGACGGTGTAGCCATGTACGGGACTCCAGGGGAACTATGCATGAAAGTAGCTTCTGGAGATAAAGAGTTTAGACCAGTCCAGCAGTTTAGTATTAAATCTGCAGGAGTCAACAACTCTGAACCTCATGTTAAGTCCAGCAAAGATTCAGAAGAGGTATGTGACTCTAGATTGCAAGCAGCCAGAAGAGTGGCTGTAGTGGGCAGCAGCCAGTTCGGCCATTTTGGTATTCAGGTTGAAGAAGGCTTCGGTGAATATTTTGACACAGATTGTATGAATGTGAGCAGGGAAGGAAGGAGAAACAAATATTCCTGCCAAAGCAGCTGGAGGAATTGGGAAGCTGATGCCTATCTCAACCAGTCTGAAGAACCTTCTGTGGGGAGGAATGCCAAAGAACCACGGTGCTGTGAAGAAGGGAGCCAGACACAGAAAACCATGTCCGGAGAGGTGAGGGTGTGCCTTTTCACAGATACTACTTGTGTTTGTTTCTTTTTCTTGCTAGAGGTGTAGAGTTGAGGTACAACAGTGATAGGGATGCTTGTCCTAGTTTTTTTTCTGGAACTGAGTGGCCAAAATCTATTCTCTTATGGTCCTGCTCCATCCCAACATAGGCTTCTTCCTAGAGACCACCTTGTTAACTTAGTTATTCTTGGGAATGTGAACACCTGTTCATATTCTCTGGATCTACATGCAGAGGGAAAGCATTAAACTGTTTTTCACTCTGTGTATAGTTGCAGGGCCCTGAGATTTCAGTTTTGTTGTGCTTTCCCATGTCTGAAGCATGTAAGAATATTCATGGAGCAAGGGCAGGGGTTGTGTCAAAGGCATCTGACATAATACACTACCCTGAGGCTGCACTGTTCTGGTTTCCATCCAAAATTACTTGCCATGCTGGGCACAGAAAAATTCTACAACAGAGTAGTGTGAATAATCACATGAGTTACTGTCTTGTGTCTGTTGACAGGTGTTGGAAAACAGCTTCTGGTCACTGAAGGTGAATGAGCAAAGGTAAAGAGACTGTGTGTCCCTGTGTGAGCGTGCTGGTAGTTAACAGGGGAGGAAGACTGCTGGGAAGTGGCTAAGGAGCCGTGTTTCTGGGAATGTTTGGTTTTAGGACTTAAATTATTCTGCCATGGTTCACGCAGGGGCTGTAACCATTTATTTTCAAAAGGTTGCTATCTAGAATGGAGCATGTTCTAAAAAATAGTTTTTGTATCTTTTAAATTCTAGCTTCTAAATTTAACATTGGTTGTTGCTAGCAATGAAAAAGCATTGGTACCATGTGTGCTGCCTTCCAGTGCAGCAAATACTGGCATGCTCACTGCACAGTTAACGAAGATCAAGAACTGGGCTTACCCATGAGATGGGATTCAAATCTTTGACCTGTGGATAAGATGTGTGTGAGATTGCTATCAATTTAGCAACAGTGATACCTTAATTTGGTGTGAGGCTGTAAGTGTTTCACTCTTTAGAGAGAATTATTTGAAATACTTCTTTTCAGCTTGATGGCTGAACTCTGATTGCCACCTCCTGGCTGTGTTTAACTTTATGTTAACTGGAGCTCGCTTTTGTTTTTTCTCTTTAAGTTTTCAGCACTTATGTGACAGGCAAGTGCTAACTAGGTGTTTCCAAGCCTGGAGAGGACACATTCTCTGGAAAAGGGCTGCAGCCAGGCATCTTTACAGGCAGCAACTGCTTCGGAAGGGCCTTGGTGCTTTGCAGTGGGCTGTGCACCAGAGGAGGATGCAGCTGGAGGTAGCCCGGCGGCGACGTGCCTCGGCTCTGCTAGCTGTCAGCTTCCGCAGGGTGAGGATGGGCTAGGGGCAGCAGAAGTGGTGCCATGAGTTTTCTGTTGTGCAGTCAGAGAAGGCAGAAATGGTATTTGGATAGGGAGGGGGAAGGGGTACCCTGTATGAAAATCAATGATTTGGATGGACCCTGGTACTGATCCTCTGCCTGCAGTTTGTTCTAATCATGTGGTTTCTCCTTCAGTGGAAGGAAGCTGTGGCAAAATGGAATAAGAAGCAAGCTCCGCAACCTGAGCCATATTCTTATATCCAAAGTTCATCAGTGAGATTTTTTGGAGTAGGAAGATTAGCAGCTATGACAACCTCAGCTCAGCACCAGCTTACAGTAGGATACTCAAAGGAGGCTGAGAAGGCTCATAGGTAAGCTGAGAGCATTCTCCTTCTGTTATCTTGAGCAAGTGCAAGTTCATAAACACAGTAAGAAATTTTTCTCAAATGGTGGCAAACTTGTTTCCAGGTCCCTGGATGTATTGCTGCAGATAAGCACTGCAAGAATTAGTAACTTAGTTTTAAGAACTAAATAATTCTGTTCCAGAGCTTCTGTGCGTTAGTGTGTTCAGCCTGATGCGAGTGTGTGACACAAGTGCTCCTGTACTATTTTTTGAGTTCAGCTATGACTTGTATATGTGATGCAGCTGTAAATGAGATTGGAGTGATGCAATGCTACAGTCTCTAGCAAGACAGTAGAGGTGTCAAAAAGAAAAACCTTTTATAGTGCCTTCTGATTCTGAGAGCAGAAGAACAAGTCCAGACAAAAAGAGAGAGATACCTAGGGAGATGGAAGGCTCTGGATGCTGTTCTCTGAGTGCCTTTTTGGACAGATGGATATCAAAGCCTGCTTTATGACTCTTTCAGGGTGGAGGGAGGACTATGGACACAGCTTCATCGCAGGCAGAGAGGAGACGAGTTCTGCTGGAGAGCTCAAGCAATCAGAGATATGAGACGACTAGCTGGTAAGCACACGTTCTGTAGCCTTGGAACAGCTTGAAGGTAATCACTGTTTCACTGTGTTTTTTGGTTTGTATCTAATTGTTACTTTGATCAGACTCTTTCAGAACCTGAGCCTGCAAATAACTGGGCCAGTATCTGTGATGGTGGAGGGTGGCCCACACGCCATGTCATACACCTTTTGCCTTGTTCCTTGTATTAATTCAGCTGCAGCAGATGCTGTTGCTCCAACTGTTTCCCTTAAGTGCCCTTTCTCAGACAGCTGGAGTTCAGCCAGGGGATGTTTGCTGTGTGACCCTAAGTTGTTTGAAGTTCTTCTGAGTTGTTTTTCTTCCTCTCAATCTCTTCATGCCCTGCAACACAGCAGCTTTCAGACTGTGGCGCCTGCAGAAGGAGCTGCTGAGCAAAGAGGAAGCCAGGCTTTTGGAAGCCCGTGCTCTGCTGGAAAAGAAGCAGCTAAGAAACCTTTTCTGGGCATGGCGTTCCCGATGCTTGGAAATGGAACAGATTTTAGCACTGACAACTCGGATCCAAAGAAACTTGGTCTCCCGGTAAGTTGGTGAGGTCTGTTCTTTCATGTGAAGTCTGTTCACTGTGAATGTCCAAGGAACCACAGAGCCAACCCAGACTATGATGTGTTGTTTCATTTTAAAGCCATCTATTCTTTTGTTTTAGGAGTTAATAAAGATGAAAGTAGGGATAGAAACGTGAAAAGGAACTACTGTGGTCAGAGACATTATGATTTGCCTCCTGTGCACTGCCAAACTTTTTTGTTCCTGACCTTTGATGTCCTGAAAGACCAAACCCAAGAGCACCCACTATGCTGCTGTGCTCTTAAGCATGACAGTTGCTTTTTAATGAAATAACCAAATAGAAGGTCAGAAGATGACAGCTTCTGTCTGTCTTTCCTCAACTAAACCCAGTCTCAGCAGGAGTCGCAAGCTTGTACATGTGGTTTTCCATGTGGTTTTGTTTTCCTTTGATATTCTCAGGTGCTTCAGTGCATGGAAGGAGACTGCTGAGCAGAAAGCACTTTACAGGTGCAACCTGGCCCATCTCAGAGCAGTGTCACTGAGGAAATACTTCCAGCAGTGGGTTCAGATGCTGCAGGTCAGAGAAGATGATAAGCAGGCAGTGGTGAACTACTTCTTCCTACAATGGAGGCAGCATTATGGTGAGCAGCTTGGGGTCTGTGCAGAATCTAAGATTTGAAGGTGCTTAGGCTCCTTCCTCCTCTTCTTGTATGGTGAAAAACAGCTGAAAACAGCCTGATTACAGGAAGGCTCAGGTGATACATGGTATTAAAAAAACAGAGTGGGCAGAGACCTAGTTCTAGATGTGTCAGTGAAGCTACAGGGAGATTTGTTGCTCTGCTTCATAAACCTAGCAGAAAGTCTTAAACCTTGCTGAAAAGAAGCAGTCTGAGGGTTGGGCTATGCTGAGTTTCTTAGGAATGCCTTCTGACAAATGTCTCGTCACTCTCTATAACTGGTTAAGGACCAGTTGTAAGCTCAGTAGCTGACAAGACTGTGACAAAGAGGCATGAAGATCAGCTATTGTGGACTACAGAGAGACGGTTTCTGGAGGAAACGGGCTACTCTCTTGACGATTTCTGTCAAAAGGTGAAGCTCCAGAGAGTATATCTGCTGTGGAAGACAAGGCTGTGTGAGCATCAGAGAGCTGAGTGAGTGAAGACGAGCCAGTTCTTGGAGCCCTGCCCTCCTTAGTAGTGTCCCCTTGACTTTCTGGTCCTTCTGGAAGAACCCCTTTTACCATCTGTCATCCATCATGTCTGTACTAGCGCCCCCCTCTGGTATCCCTTTCAGTCACTTTGCTTTGTCTTAATATCTTCTGTTTCAGTTCTTTCTCTCAGACTTTGGAGCAGTGTAGAGTCAGAAAAGCTCTGAAATTATGGCACCAAAAGTGTCTCATGCTGAAGACAATTAAACAAAGTCCTAAGCCCTCACACAGGACTGTCTATGAAGAACCTCTTGCTATGCCGTTTTCTGACGACCCCTCATCATCATCTGGCTTTGACAGCAGTGCTCCAGCTACTCTGCCCTCTCAAAACTCACTAGAAAAGGTGAGGAGGTCTTCTTACATCCAGACTGCTCTGAGGTGTTAAATTTTTGGGATTTTTTTGGGAAAATTTCTGCTTCAACATGATATTGTCATCAGCAAACTGAGTCTGCAGGGTCCTGGTGTTTAAATGTAATCAGAAATCTTAAAGTCAGTTCTCTCTGTGCTCTTCCTGGCTCATCATTTAGTGATCTGAGAAGGTGCTGAGCTAGTGAGGATCTCCTGTACACTTGCTCCCATTTGTGGCTGCAAGGTGGAAGGGATGAGGTACAAAGACCCTCATTACTGAGGGAGTGCATATGCTCGTTTCCCCTTTTCTCAGTATAGAAATAACTGTTTAACTATTCAGTACAGAAATAACTTCCCCATCACATATATTTGCACTCCAGATCTGTGCTTGCTAGCCTGCAGTTCCTTTGGATGCATCCTGGATTTCCCTCAGTCCTTGCCAAAAAGAGGAGTAAATGGCATGGTCAGAATTGTTACCTGAGTGATTCCACTGTGAGGGTACTTACCTCACACCTTGTTCTTCCCTCTGTACCTGCAGGAATACAGTTTCAGTGACAGTAGCCAGCAGAGCATCTCCTCCGTTCTGACTGCTGAGGATGTCACACACATACCACATTATAGTTCTTTCCTGAAACTACACCAGTGCGCAGAGCTGCCAGCTGAGCTGGGTGGGGAGCTGTACTTGCAGGCCGCCTTTCCTCCACAGAATACTGGATCTGAGTGAGTTGGAGACTGGTTCCTTGGGATGCTGGTAGCAGCGGCCCCTTGTTTGGTCTGGCTGAATTCCTTCCTTCTGAATAGTCCCTCATGTCACCTCACACCATCCTTCCAGATACTTTATCCTCTTTTTTAGTTTCCCTTTTTCCCCTGACACTTTTGTCTTACAGAAGAAATTGGTTTATGGGAGGTCAGTTCCAGTTATTGGCACTGCAGAGTCCAGACAATAATGTCCAGCCTCTCACCAGTTACTCTACATGGGAAGAGGTAAGGCTGAAAAAGTGGTGTGATGCATATAAATGTACAAGTGTTTTCTGCACAGCCCAATTAGGCAAAGAGCCTTTGGGTTTCAGTATCAGCATATGGAAGGTCTCACTGCTGTTCTCTCTTTGTTCTCTCTCTGAAGGTTTGGGAGATTGAGGCATTTCTTGGGGTAATTCTTCCCTACCATTTTCCAGCTGGGTGGGAAATTGGCCAGATGTCAAGGATTTAAAAGGGATGTGTTAGACCCTCATGTCTGGGTGTTCATGTGGTGTGTGGGTGTTTGCAACAGGGAGTTAGGCAATCATAGAAGCCACAGTGGCAAGGAGAAAGAGCTGAACTGCATAGAGTAACTGTTGCAGCAGTTCAAGGCCCTTTTTGCTTTTCCTGATTATAGGACTGCACTTCTGACAAGGAGGTGAAGAGTTGCTGGCAGCAAGCAGAGAAATGCTGCCTGCAGAGGTACTTCATTGTCTGGTCAGCTCAGACTCAGCAACTCGTAAAGGCCCAGCAGTACTGCAGGCTTATTCAGCTGTCTCGGTAGGTATTATACCTTCCAGAAGTTTCGTAAAGAGTCTGTTTTGGGAGCTCTATACTTGCTTTTTAAAAAAAAAGTCTTCCTCTAGCTATCTTTTTCTGTCTTCACTGGGAGTTTTGCAGCCCATTATTTTGGTTTTTTTCCTGCTTTTCCTGTTTTTTTCTGTATTACATCTAACAGTAATTTCTGGTTTGATGGGATGTCTCACAAATTAGAGCAAGCCCAGCACTGCTGATAACAAGCCCTGGTAACTTCCTCTCCACTGACCTGCCTTTCCTTTCTACTCATTCAGAAGTTGAAGAGCAAAACAGGCTTGGCACAGCTGGAGCAGGACACCTTACGCCCAACAACTTGCCCTATCCATCATTTCACCTGACATTTAACGGGGAAAGGGTGTTAACAGATCAGATGTATTTCCTAAACTCCCTCGTGTATGTTTATTGTTAAAGTTGCAGTTACCCTTGTAACTCTGTGAATCTGTGTGAGTTGTTCCTACAGTTGGTGCAATGACCTTTGTCTTTCTCAGAGCCTTTCTCAGCTGGCACCACTGGACTGTGGAAAATAAGAACCAAAAAGCAGCATCAGCAGCCCTAAAACATCAAGTCCATTGCTGCCAGATGGCTTTCAGCCTGTGGAAGAAGAGACTGGCCCAGAAAGTAGAATCTGACCGGAGATTCAGGTGTCACATTCACCAGATGACTGCTGGTGCTCTGTGGCATTGGTGTTCCTATTGGCAAAGTGAGTTACCCCATCCTACAGTAGCACTCGTGTCTGTAAGAGAGGGGTGCTGTGGGAATGGTTGGGATGGAGAAAGTCCCACTTCTGGTTGTAACTCTGTGCACTGCTCCTCTGGAATGGCACACACTAGTCCAAGGCTCAATAAGTGCCTGTGTCACTGACTTCCTGGGGTTATAAGCAGGACATGTGCCCTGCTGTTCTGTAGTGCTCTATGCTAGGGGAGATGCTCCTTTGGCAGCTGGTTGGAAAAGGGGTGGATCTTGTTTTACCTGCACTACCAAAGGAGTGTTCAAGTGGTGCATTTTAGCAGCCTGGGAGTTAAATTGAGTTCAGATGCAGTATACGAAGCTTGAACATATCTCCTCAGACCCTAGGCTTTGCTTCAGCGGGAGCAGGGTGTATCTTTTGGGTTTGCTTTACAGTCCTGATCCTGTCCCTCAAGGTATTCCACGTGCTTTAAGCGCTAAGTACTTACACTGTGCCAGGGAAGGAACACTCCCAATTTTTGATGGAAAACTGCCTTGCAAATGAGAGTGGAAGTGATCTGTGATCTTGGGAAGGGCAAAGGTCTGACTGCCTTGCAGACAAAAAAACAAGGCAAATTGAAAAGTCTCTTCAGCTGATAGAGGACAGGAAATCTTAGAAAGTTTGGTCCCATTTAGTATTTGCAGCACATGTATTCTTTGCCTGGGACTTGTCTGGACTCTGTGATGGAAAAAAAAATGATTGTTGGGCTCAGCTCAGCAAGCTCTTGTATTCTCTCACAGGGAAGCGTGCTGTGAGAGAGCTGCAGCAGCAATGGGCTCAGCATAGCTGCCAGGAGAAGAAGAGGTTGGTCCTGCAGACATGGTATTGCCAAACAAGGAAGCAGAAAGATGCTGCTTTACTCTGGGAACGTCTTCTCCTGCGCAGGTTTGTTTCCTGCCCTCAAAGCACTTCCGAGGGAAGCTTTGGGTGAAGAGCAATTTATGTGGCAGAGCATTCTGTGTATTCAGAACAGAGCTTGGGTTTGAAAGTGCAGCTAACCTATGTGTAAATGGAGCTTCTGTAGGAGAGCTTCCCTAGGGGTGCTCCTACATTAAGGGGTCTGTTACCCATAGTTTTATACTCCCCATCTTGTTCTCACTCAAAACTTCTTTTTTTTTCCAGAACTTCTGTTCAGTCTTAGTTATGCAGTGTGGTATTTGTAAAATAAGCAAGGGAGATAAAACAAATTTGTGTCGTTTAAAATAGTGACAGCCTTGTTTCCACTGGGATTACTCAGTATTTGCAAAAAGTAATACTGGGCAGAGGTCTTACAGAGATCTGATGTCTCCAAAGCTGAATCTTTTAGATTCTGGACACAGCATGCTGATTTTAATATAAACTAATGTGAAAAATTGAGTTCAATATATTCCTGCAGAAAAGCAATATTCAGTAAAGCCTGTGAAGGGAAAACCATGATACTCAATTCATCTCAGTGTCAGTTACAATACAGGTGAAGCTTCAGTATGTTTTGGAGTCTTACGTTATGGTGCAGATCATGAAAACACAAGCATTTAATCTGAAGAGCAAGGTGTCTGCTGCCAATCATTAACAACTTTTTATCTCTTAGCTGTTGTTCAGTAGCTTTCTCATTGAAATCTGGTTTGTTTGTGGTTTATGTTGTGTGAGGCTACTGTCTGCTGGAAACGCAGCAAAGTGTCCAGCTGCAGTTAACCAGGAATTGTTCAGGTGGTCCTCTGAGATAATTCAGGAGGATGAGAAGAAATAATATTATTTATGCCAAGGATTCGTTTGAAGCAAGTGCAGGTTTGGTCCTAGCAGATTTCCTTTTGAATCACAGGTTCAGGCTGAGAGGAGACAAAGATCTGCAAAGGAAAGAGTAATTAAAAACCTAGTAAAACCTTAGTGGCTGTGATGCTTAGACTCTGAACTCACCCCACCCAATTGTATTTTCTTCTGTAAATCAATCTGTGTGGTGGTACCCTAGTGGGAAGTGTGTTTGAGAGAAGTCCTTAATGTTGCTCCTTCCTGTAGAGTGTGTATCCACCATTAATCTTCCTTCTGAGTTCTCCTTTGATGAGAGAGCACTTCTAATTTCTCACCTGGATATGGTACAGGCTGAGCCCTGTCTCTTCTGAGGGGGGGCATTTTTCATGCTAGGGTAACCTGCAATAGATTCTCTTGATCTTCAGAGAAGCCTGCCAGGCAGAGGATATTTACACCTCTGCCCTATGGTGCAGTGGGGTGATTTGCATAATGAAAGTCCAAGTGGAACAAGGGACCAAAAGGATAAGCCAGGAGTTAAAAGCAGATTGGCTTCTGGGGTTGCAGAGGAAGACTGGCCTTCTGTGCATCACCCTGCAAGATAGGGAGAGATTACTGTGGGTGCAGATTTACAGTGCTGTTAATAGTAACTCCTGTAGACATTGATTTTTTGGAATAAAGTTGTCTCCATAAAGATTCTAGTTGTACGTCCCAGGGTACGTACGACAGGGTCTTAGTCTGTGACAGCCAAGAAAAAAACCTAAAATCTGAATCTCGACACCAAGCTGTTGTCTTAAATCCAGCTCGGTTCTGCAGCAAGCAGACTTAATGAGTCTGCTGAGTTCCATGCTGACAGAGATTTTAGCAGTTTTATTCTCATCCTATAAAGAAAAAGCCTTCCTCGGGCATCATCCTAAAGGTCAGCTGCTGGCACAGAGAAAGATTGAAGACCGACTAATTTAATTCCTTTCTTTTTTGGAGGGATCCACTATGTGCAGTGGCAGGGCAGCCTAGGAAAAGTGTTGGTTTGGTAGGCAACAGAAAAACATAGTATAACATTGCATTCGGTTTGCAGAGGCCTTTGAAGAGGAGGAAATGCTAACATGGCCAGAAGGAAGCAGACACACTCCTGGGCTTTGAGGAGTTGGGAGGTAACAGTGCTGGGAATCTGGAGTAAAACAAGGGCAAATTTTTAACAGAAAGAAACTGTAGTTCAGGAGTCTGAACTTACACCTTCCTAGGACGAGGCACTGGAAAAATAAGTAACACAGAGAAAGATACATAAATGTTGATTTCAGAAGGAATAATAGGAACAGCCTTTTTTCTTGTTGAATGCTCTTTTGCTTGCTTTGACCACTTAAGCATGACACTGCAAGGTGGGGTGAGAAGGTGGAACTTTGTCTATAACCTTTTTGGTGCTGATGTGTGACTTTAGGCATCTGCTGCTTTTCTGTGCTTCTATTGTTTTTCAGGTGCCTGGTCACCTGGGCCCAGACCACTGCTTGTAGACTGAGGCAGCACAAAGCACTCTCTTGTTTTAAAAGGGTCAGAGAGCACCGTCTCCTAGTTGTGAGCTTTAGTGAGTGGAGGATGAAATTCTTGAGAGCTGAACAGCGGGTGAGGGGGGAGAGAAACCACAGGGGGCAGGAACCCTCTCAGGGTAAAGCCTGTCACCGCTGGCGATTGGCCTCGAGAGGACAGCAAGTCCTGCGCCTAGGATCTGTGGCTTCTATAAAACAGGTAAGAAAAAACAAAGGTCCTTCCTTATGAGACAGTTATACTTAATTGCCTGTTCTGCTGTGAAGACCTCAGCGAGTCACTAGACAGATACAGTGGCCAAGGCTTGTATAAAAACCTGGTTTGACTCATGGTGACTGCTTAGTCCCTGCTTTAAAATTCTTTACAGACTGTGCACGCAACTTCATCACCATAATCTGGTGCTGATTGCAGCAACCATCTGGAGCACAGCAATAAGGAATGGGGACATTTTGACCAGAGATGAGAGTGCTCCTTCTTCTCTCAGAGATGAGATGGGATAATCACTGTCCCTGCAGAGCAGAGCGAGCTGTCAGAGTTGCAGCTTTTTTCAAAAGGCTCACAGCTAGCAAACCACAAAGAGGTCGATTGATTTGGAAGGGCTGAGTCAGTCCTGCTGGGATCTCATCTGTGCAGTTTGCAGCCTGGGGTCTAGCACATTAAACTACCTGCAGGGATATGAACATAAATGTATCTCTCTAAGGCCAGTCTGTGTGTGTTGTTTGTGTGCACTGTGTTTAGTCTTGGCTGCAGCTGTGTTATTTCTGTTTGCAGGCCTGCAACTACTGGACAAAAGCAGCTGCCTTTTCCCAGTGTTCACGGCAGTGCAGTACCCTGATAGGTGCTAGGAAGAGCAGAAAGATGTCTCTGTCTTGGTCCATGAGTAAGAAGATGCCATCTCCTCTCTCTGTTTCATGGGACCATGCGGGGAGTGTGAGTGAGGAGGGTAGGGGAGTAGTGTTTGCCAGCCAGATGACTGGGATTACTCTGTGGAGTAGGTGCTCATGGCAATTGAACTCTGACTGTGGGTTGCTTCTGTATTCAGGAGCCAAAGGACTTAAGGGCTTATGGCATCTTTGATCTTTCCCTCTCTAGCTCTGAGGTTAGCTCCTGTGTGATTCCTCTTTTCTTTCCTAGAAAGCAGAAGAGGCAGAGAAGAGGGTTCAGCACCAGCTGCCCCTCTTGGGCTTTTTCCCAGTGCTATTCACCGCTGGCTGGTGATCTACAGAAACCAAAAAGGGGCTGAGGGTCTACTGCTCCCTCACCTGGTAGAGACACCTGGTGCGGTAGGATCCTCTCCTGCACATGCAAGGATCCAGGAGAACAAAGCAGAGGTGGACTTGGAAGAGTGGGATGAGAAGTGGCTTGGGTAAGTAGAGTGGAGGGCTCTGGGCTTCCTCTTGCTGCTGCCATCAGGGAAGGACTCCCTTGCAGGGCTGTTGGGCTGATAAAGCTTGTTTTCCCCTCTTACCTATAGGAGGAAGTATCTGAGGTGGTGGCGTCACACAGTGATACTTCGGCAGTGCCAGCGTGACAGGAGACTGCGCTGTCTGGCAAGGGGATGGCATCAGTGGAGAGAAGCCAGCAGTGTGGTGATACTGGCACGGGTGTTGGTGAGTGTCACCAGGGTGGCAGTGATGGGTGTTACTGGGCAAGCCTGCTCTGCTTGCAGCCTCACATACGTCTTGGGAGACAAGACATGGACATTTAACAAGTACCAGAGCGCACAAGAAATCCTCGTTTGCTGCTGTGGCTACTTTTTCCTTCTTTCTCTTTGAAATGCCAGCATGGCAGACTGGCATATCCACACACTTAGTTGTGCTTTGCCCCGTTTTACAGATGGGAAGCTGAGACAGAATGATTTGTATAGATTGTCTGTAGCCTGTGCAAAAAGTTCCCAGCAAGTATTACAATCTTTGTCCTCACCTGTGTTAGTTATACATCCCTCTGGAGTCCACAGCCTACCAAGGGCTGTCATTTGGCTTCCCCTTCTGCTCAGGCCCTAGCCATCTATGGAACAGACTGGCTTCCTGGGCAGTAGCTGTGTGAGATGTGCTCTGACCTGCCCATGGGACAAGGTGACACACATATAGCAAGTGCGTCCACAGTCACTGAGGAGCTGTGCTGGAGCACTGATGGGGCACTGTCCTTTCCCCAGGGTACTGTGACTTAATTAGCCACAATATTTGCAGGAGACAGTAGTTCAGCAAGAGCTTTGTTAGTAGCCAGCTGTGTTCATTACCAATGCAAAGTCATTCAAGAGGGACCTGGAAAAGCAGCTAGAAGCAAGGTGGGACTAGAGGGAAGTGAGGTAGTTTGCCTGCCAGAGGACAGTTAATCTGTGCGCTGCCTCTTTTCCTGGCAGGACCAGCAGCGGCTGATAGAAAAGGCCTGGAGGGTGTGGAGACGACGACATTTGCAAAGCTGTGTGGTGCAGAATTTCTTGGAGGAGGAAGCCAGGAACCTACTATCTCAGGTAAGCATTTATGACTGCTTTAATCGTGTGGACCGAAAAAGCACCTCAAAGGGACCAACTGGTATTTCCTGTATCTCTCTCCCTGCACCAAGCATTTGCTTAGGGAGACGCTGAATACATCAAGAAACAAGACTTGCTTATAATAAAGGGAAATAGCTTCTAGCTTTATATAGGTTCATCTTTGGGTTCAAAGCTTTGTGTCAGCAGTCAATTTCCCTGATGTGTCACCCCTTCTCCACTGTTACCAGAGATGATAATCCACTAATCCCCTGCCTCTCAAGAGCCCACTCAGGGAAGAAACAGGCTCCACATCAGTGCAAGAGGACTGTGCTGACTTGCACCCAGGGGCAGACAAACCGCTATAAATTTGAGTGAGCCAACCAAAGCCTTAGAGCTCAGCCAGCCAGTTTGGTTCTCTACCTGCTTTGCAAAGATCCATGCAGGATTAGGTCCTCCTTTAACAAGATGAGAGCAACTACTGAAATTAGAGGACAGAGGCGGCATTGGTCTTCCTTTTCTCACATCGATTTGTACTCTGCACTTCACTTATTGCCTACAGGAACATAGGGGAGACAGGGAAGGGCTCTGACTGAATGGTGAGGCAGTTGGCATAGCTCGTGCTAGAGGAAAAGCTGTGTTTATGGGTACTGTGAGGGTGGCTGCAACCCTTCAAGGGTAACCTGAGTATTTGATTTGTCCACTTCACTATTTAAGGCCTTTGGAAGGTGGCGCCAGCTAACAGTGTTCCAGCTCAAGGACAAAGGACGTTGCTGAATGGTGGGGGCCTGCCTGCAGCTGCTGCTCATTTCAGGACACGTGGAGGATACAGCTGGCTGTCACAACAAAGAGCTGGTCCTGCGAAATCAAGAAAGTGAATGCTCTGCTCATGATAAAAGCAATGCTGCAGGCCAGAAGCACAGTAGCCAAAGGACAACCAGAAAGAGATGGTACCTAGTGAAAGTTCCTCTTTGAAGGACTAATATCCTACCTCCCTAAAGGCACAAATTTGATATGTCATTCTTTTTTGTTGTGAGGTTGCATCCCCTTCTCCTCTGGACACTGATTTTGCTAGAGTTCTATTAAAAGTCAAAACCCCACCTTCTAGGCTCTCCCTTTACTCAGTATTTTTTCCTGGTCAGCAGTTTAGTGTCATGCAGGGGGGTCTAGCAAATACATGTCTTAAAGAGATGAGCAGGAGCCTGCCTCTGCAAACGCTACATCCTGTTGATTCCAAAGCCTGGACTATCGGTGATAGGTGTGAACACAAATCTTTATTTTTAGATTTGGCTCTTCCCCTGGGGGCGGATTCCCACATGACTCCCACCTCCTGTCTAGGTCCATCAGCTCTTCATTAAGCCTTTCAGTGGGTGGCCAACCTCTTGACTGGTTCCTGCTGGTTCCTTTCTGTGCTGAATGGGCTAGGGATGAAGAAACCTGCTGGGAACAGCTGAGCACCAAAAGCTTTGCTGAGGCAAGACAGGCGTGTCTGACCCCCAACCTTCCCATTACTTGCTTCTGTGATTGATGCCCTGTAATTACCCTGGATATATGAGCCCAGTTTCAGACAGCTGTAATGAGAGGGTCTGAAGAATCTGGGAAAGGCTTTTCTTCCTTGCTCGTTTGAAAGAGATGCTCACAGCGTGGCAGGGATCTTGAAATTCCATTGGGAACTGCCCCAGGCTCTTGTTTTCCTAGGCTGTGGTAGCTTGGCAGGATTGTTAAGTACACAAAGCAGCCTCCATAGCTTCCCCCCACCCCTTACTTCAGTGCTGTGCGGCCTTAAGCCTGTATTGAGTCATTAGGTCACAAAAGATAGCCTATGTTTCCCTCCAGGAACTGGAAGAGGACCACCACAATTCCTCTGACCCTGAACTGAACCGAAGGTTGTAGCTGGTTGCTTTTGGTAAATTCTAGGATTTAAACTTTCTCTGCTCTACCAGGGAGCTCTGTCCATACTTTACTTAGGGCATATGTTGAAAGTAAAGGCAGTATTGCCTCATAAACAATTGATTTTAAGACCCTCGTGCCAGACTCATTAGTTTGCAAACAACACGAGTCTTTACTGCTTATAAGAGTAGGGCCTAGTACAACAGACACTTGTATTTCTGTATTTTATTGTACTTAATCTAAAAAATAGTGTGATCCTACTCAGTCTTATCCAGAAGTGAAAGTCATATATTCTATTAAAAAGAAAACAGGAAATAAAATAAAGGGAGAAAAGTTAAGGAGAAAATTTGAACCTTCTTCTGGAGTGAGTGCAAAAGAGCCTGATATGGTCAGTTACGAAAAATACATCTTCGGAGTGCAATGTAAAAGTAACTTGAGCTTCTTTTCAGGGTTGGTAACTGCTGAAATAGTCTCCTTGCATAGGCACTGTTGACAGGAGTGTTTCAATCCCCAAGGCAGCATTTCTGGCATGAGAAAGTTACTAAAATACCACTGAGTTTTATCACATTGATGCACAAGAGTTGTCCTGGTACTGTAATCAACATAGCCACAATTAGCACCTCTTCATTCTGCAGAGCTGGTCTTCAAGCTAAGGCTAGAGCCTTAGCTCAGAGGTTTGGGTAGTTCTGGCTATTGTTCAGTGGGGAGTCAGGGAATCTCTGTGTTGGGGGTAGAAAAGCATGTAGTGTGTAGATCAGCAAGCTGGCCTGGTCATGGGGTTTAGGAGTGTGTGGTCCACCATCAGCACAGGAGCTGCTTTTTCTCTCCCCGCAGTCAGTGGACGGAAGGAGGAAATATGGGTTTAAAAGGGGAATTTTCACTGCTGAGTTGGATAGTTCAACAGCTCAAAAGTATCATCCACAACCTGCCAGAGGCAGTTTTCAAGTGGGAAGTCATTGTCCACCAGGTTGACCAAATAGTAGTTGTCGTGGATGTACTGGATGATCATGCGAGAGGGTGACTCCTCTTCATAGAGCTTGGCCCACTGCTCGATCCACAGTGCAAAGGCCTCATCCTGCCAAGGAAAAAAAATGTTGGTAGTGGTGTAATGCATACGTTAGAGCTGTATTTTCATATTCCTACATTTAGGACAACCAGTGTCACACATGCATGGCCAGTCTGTGGCTTGTTTCTTCTCAGTGAAAACAGCAAGAGCTGAGCAAGGAGCCTCATGCTTTCCAGTCAGTGGGAAGTGCCCAGAACTGAATGGAGACACGTTTGCAGTAAAATGGCTCAATACTGCCCCTGTGTGTGTAAGAGGGGAGGGAGAGCTACTGCCCAGAGCTCTGGGGCCCAGTACAGTGACAGTGGTAGCTCCCAAGTCCCCTGGTACTAGGTGTCTGTGAAGAGCTCTTGCCAGAGCAAAGTTCCTATTATGTTGAGGGAGCAGGAGCAGCAATATCTGGACCTCTGCAAGCTAATATCACAACAGTACTCGATTGTAAGAAGTGTCACAGGCTAAAAACAAACCGGACACTGAACTTCCAGGGCATCACAGCAATGTATCCAGCAGGAGGCAGGACTCACCTTCCAGGAGAGGAAGCTTACAGGATCCACTACAGTGGGCTGGATGATCTCTCTGCCTGGGAAGATGCCCCAGGTGACAGCATTGGGTTGCAGATCTGGAGCATTGGTGATATTCTGGCCCTGCCAAAGGAAGGAAAAATCTTTCTGAAGCAACTGCTGCTGGAGGGATTAAGTGAGTTAGAACAAGTGCATTTACCCTCTCCTTGTAAGAGATCAGACAGCTGCTGCACATCACAGCTGACTTGCTTCACTTTCCCTTCCCTTCATCAGCCTTCCTGTCCCACTCTTCATAATGATACCTGAATCTTTGATATTTGCTTCACTCCCAAGGTGGTGAAAGGAAAGCGCTCGGTAAACAACAGCCTACCTTGACATTGACAATGTGGTAGTTCACTCGCAACTCATACTTCTTCAGCACTTTGAGCAGTGCCGTGACGATCTCACTGGAGGTGAAGAACTCTAGGTATGCCTATAGGGAGGGAAGGGAAGGGCAAAGAAATTAAGAGCCTTTACTCATGGCAGGGATGGGATGCACATGGGCAATCAGGTGGACAGTTGTAGACTGGGCTGCTTGGAAGCCAGGCAGCTTAAGACTTGTATGTCCATTTCCAGAAACATGTACTATAGAGGATGCTTCAAAGGGCAGAGCAAATTAGTAGAGAGCTGGGGGGAATAAATAAAAAAATTAGGGAGAGCAGAGGTAACGGCTCAGGAGCAGCCAGCTCAGGAAAGCTACAATCTTCCTGGGTTTTGCCCACGTAAGCAGGCAGGGTGGAATAAGCTCCAGGGAATGTAACCACAACTGCTGTGCCTGGGAAGCAGTCTGGGCCAGATGGAGTAGAGTGCTTGGAAGAGGCCTGAGCTCAGCCTCTGTTCTGTATGGGACCCGGTGAACAGCAGCGTCCAGGCAAGGCAGCCCAGTCTGGTGGGAGCAGGTCAGGGGAGTCAGCTGGGCTCTCCCAAGCACTCTCCATTCCCTGTCTTCATATTTTGTTCACAGTTCTGCCTGTGTGCTTATACAACTAAATTCTGTACTTCATCTACCGCTGCTCTGTGCTTGGCTGCTCCCAACAACTGTTCCCCCTCCCCCATTTCCTGGCTATTGTGTGAGATGATGGATTTCCCCTCACCTCAGGGGAATTTTTTCCTTTGAAAGCATAACTGCATTTGCCATCTGCTGGTCTCTTGGCTTTAGCGGTTTGGATCCCTTTTGAACAAGTCTGCTTTGTTTCCTAATATGAGCCACTTGCCTGGCATTCACCTTGATGGGAGATTCCTATCACAGCCATTAGTGGCAAGACTCTAGGGCCTGAAAAAGCATCACGGTAGGAGGCAGGCATGGGAGATAAGACTGCTGGCAGGCCAGATGAGGAACCTGGTAGCTGTCTGACCAGCACAGCATTAGTGGTGTGGGGTGGGTGCAATTGGTGGAGAACTCTGCCTTAAAGAAGGACAAATAGGCTAATTTTTAAATGCCCAGTTATTACCATGAGAAGCTGGATGGTAGACATACTACCATGAAAAACCTGGGTGCTTTCTGCATCACTGAATAGGATCAGATGCAGTGGGCGGGCATGTATTTGCATCTAAAGTTTCATAGCCCTGCTCTAGAAAGAAGTTACCAATAACTACTTGCTGAGAGTAAAACCAAGAAACTCTATGTGTGTTCAATAGATGTTTTGAGGTAGGGGAAAACAGCTATGAAGCCAGCCATAGAGATGACATAATCTGTCTCCCAAGATACCAGAGGAGCTTTGCCTCATCTCAGCAAGCAGGCATTAAGATAAGGAGCAGGCAGAAGGATTATATGGGTGAAAGCCTAGGACCTCCCTACCTAAGAGACCAAACTGGGTCATAACTCTGCTGCTTGGCCCAGAGTAGCGCAGTACCTTTTGGAAGACATAACCGCCACTGGGCCCCCAGCCTACAATGGGGTCTGTGGATGGTTTGCCATTGATGTTTGGCTGGGAGTTGATGGTCAGGATTCCTCGTCTGTTAACCTTCTCCAGCTGCTCCTTCAGAAGGTTGGTTTCAGTAGCAAGAGGATCATCGTTCCAGGGCATGCACGTAACCTACCATGAGGAGAAAGGATGGGTCACAATGGATTTAACAACACTTTCATTACCATCTGGATGTTGAAGGAACTCAGAAGTGCCCTAATGGTCTCAAGCACACCTACTTCTGGGCAGAATTCACAGGTTTGGTTCAAGGGGCAGGATATCCTCAACTCTAAGAATGACTGCTGAAATCCATCAGTTCTGGTCCTGTCATACTGTAGCATCTTTCCTTTTATGTTGAGCCCTAGCTTTGGCTGTTGGGTTACCTTCGGCCACCATTTCAGCAAGTGCTTTTGGATAGGGAAGTGCCAATTCTTATTCAGAACAATGTGGTATCAGGAGCAAGAGGAAATGCACACTATTGTCTGTGCCACACTGCCCATCCCTTCCTGCGCCATCACTCACCTTGTGCCCATTTTTGTTGGGTTCTCCAGTGATGTAACATGTGAATACCTCAAAGACGCTTTCCTCACCAGTCAGCTCTTCTCCCCACATCTTCAGAAGCTCCTCCCGGGGAGACTTGCTCTTCAGGTAGAAGAGGTAATAGTCCTTCAGTTCCCCAAAGGCTGGAGAGGAGGAGTTACCCCTGTAAGGGGAACAGACACAGGATCATCAGGCCACTGAGGAAGATGAGCTGATTTGGTAATGCAGGAAGAGAAGTATCCAACAAAATCTACCAAGAGACCAAAAGCTTCAACATCCTGGTGCCATTCTCCTCACCTCATTCAAACCCAAGCAAGCGGGGACCACTTTGTTAAGAAGCCACCTGTTCCATCAAGCCCAGGACACCCACTAAATGACGGAGACCAACTGTGGAGCAGGCTTTCATACCACACCTCTACTGCACTGCCATTGCAGGCTGACAGCTTACCATCGGCCATTGGGGAAATCATCCCATTCTTGAGTTCGATAGATGTAACTCTTTGGCCTAGAGGCCCAGAAGATTGGCCGAACATCTTCAACTCTTCTCTTGGGGTGAGCGCTGACTGCCCAGGGCAGAGGCCGCCTGCATGGGAGGAGCAGATGTTAACACAGCTGACTTTCCACTGCAGGCTGGAAGCCTCTCCCCTGGAGAACTTTGTCTCTGGGGAAAGCAAGTAATGGGTGCTGATAAGAGTTTGTCAAGAAGATAGAAAACTCTTTTTCTTCTACGGAAAAATCTTTTCTCACTCAGTTCCCTCACGGGATGCTCGGTAAGTGTCTATTAAATGGTTAAATACAGGACTGACACCCCAAATTGAATGAGTTAAGGGAAAAGCACTGTGTGAAGCTATTTTTAACAATAAGAAAGTACAGCTATCCATTTTCCTTTGCTGCTTCTTGTCTCTGCTGAAGCCTGTGGACTTCCTTTATCAGCTGTAGAGAACCCTAGAAATCCACAGCAGGACCTTACATAACACTTGGCCTGTAAGAGGGATTGTGACAGACCTCAAAAACCCTGTTTCTTCCAAGTGGCAGTTCTAAGAGTTTAGGTTTTTAAAGTTCCAGAACATGCTACTTTTAAAGCCACTTGACTAAAACAAATTCATCCTTCATCTGTCCCCTCTATTCCTCCCAGCTTTTGTCAAGGGATCTGCAGGAAGGGTGAACTTCTAAATGCAGGAAGGTGCTAAAAAAAAAAAAAAAAAAAGCAGAAAAAGCAGCAGAGGAGAGGTGCTAACCATCCATTGCTTGAGCCTCCAGTAGATAGGATGGATGAATGTGAAAGAGGAACTAACAGAAGCCAGCATATTCTGCTCACCTGGGGTCTTCCTTCCATATGCCCAGGCGCTTAAGGACTTCAGTAGTAGCCACTTCCCGATTGAGGGTATAAAAATGGAGCCCATGCACCATGCCACTATCCAGCAGCTCCCGGCACATGGTCACTGCCAGCTCCACCCCATAGTTCCGGATAGCTGCATCGTTGTCCTTGATAGGTTCAATCACATCTTTGATTTCTTGAGGCACTTCCAGCTTGGAGAGCTTCACCAGCTGGCGCAGGGAGTGGTAACCCTGGATGAGGATGCAGGGGATTTTCATTTTTCCAAGGCCCTCTTCTGACATCCCAGTAACACAGGTACTTGATTTCGATTTTGTGGCAGGAGATTTAAAATTGGGGCTCCTGGACTCTACTCCTAGGCCCCATCTCTAGGATGGTAACATAGTCCTGATCATGTCACTTTAGGTGAATTCTTCCCTTTTTGCCTGAGCCCAGCATGCTGACAGTAATGACTAACACCTTAGGACTGGTAGGCCACTGTCCTTTATATCCCTTTTTGCCATATGGGCATGGAAAACATCTTAAGCTTGTTATTACATGCCTACGAATTTAATATGGCAAACCACCTACAGATTTATCACGTTTAGCACTCTCACTTCCCAGAAATTTTGTGGAGGATATTTAGAGACCTCTCTCAGGCCCCGACCCACAAACACCTAACATCCTGGATCCTTATTCCCTCCCAAACCAAAATTACTGGATTTCACCTGTATGGGGAAGATGCCAGGAATAATGGGGCAGGTGATGCCAATGGCTTGACAGTCCTTCATAAACTTAAGGAAGGTTTCCGGTCGGAAGAAAAGCTGTGTAATGATGAAGTCTGCCCCAGCTAAGACTTTCTCCTTCAGATGCCTCAGGTCTGCCTCATAGCTCTCTGCTTCAGGATGACCCTTGGGGTAGCCTTGGAGGGTGAAGGGGGAAAAAAAAAAAAAAAAGTGAAACCCTGGTTGTCAGGTCAACACACTAGAAATAAGAAAGTAGCCAATCTGATTGTGCTGTCACTTACAGCCCAGGTCCAGAGAGGGACTGCTGAGTTGATTTCCCCATCTCAGACCCTACCCCACACTCTGCAATGAAAGACATTTACCTGCCACACAGATGTCAAAGTAATCATCAAATTCATTGCGAATGTGCTTAACCAGGTCAACAGCATAGTTGAAGCCATCTACTTCTTCCTCCCATTCCTCACCGACAGGATCTGAAAAGAGAACAAATCTACAGCTCTCTCCAACTGTTTGATGGACTCAGATCTGCTAGTGCTGTAAAAACCCACTGTCAAAAGACAGACAAGATGAAACCTCCAAGTCTGCAGTTTTACCCATGGGCTGCTTTTGTCTACTCTTGAGCTGGAAGGACTGCTAACAACGGGATCAGGTGAAAAGCAGTCTCAACTTTTAATTCCCACAGCAGAAGGAGCTTCTAAATGATATTTTTCCATTTTTACTCTGGAACTGAACTGAACACAATACCAATACAGCCTCAGCCCTATGCTTCGTAAGACTAAAGGATTCACCTCCACGCAATGCCATGATGTTCTTCAACCCGAGCCGCTTGGCCTTCTGCAGATGCCCTGTGATGTCATCCTTGGTCTGATTGCAGCATGTCATGTGCAGGATGGTCTCCAGGCCACAGTAGTTGACTGCCGTGTTGGCAATAATCATGGAAGAGGTTTCCTTGTCAGATCCTGGGTCCCCAGCGGGGTGCCACGTCACATCAATGAAGAGTGGACCACCTACTCCCATGCGGTCAAACCTATGGATTTTAGAGCTCTGTGAGTCTACCATGTAGCCAACTCCTTTCTCTCTGCCTGGGATATCTTGCTCACTGCTGGAATGCCAGCAACAGACAGAGAGAGCTTGGATGACAGCAGCAGGAGAGACCAAGGAGTTTAGCAAGTGGCCAATGTAAATAAAGTCACCCATTAAAGCTATATGAGGAGAAGCTTACAGTGACTTCGAAGAAGAGGAAACTTAAGTGTTCTCTGTAGAATAAACTTCCTCCCAGCATGCTTTATTAGACTGATACATCTTCTAATAGACAGCAATGCAAGTCCTATTCTTTTTGAGATGGGAGACTATGCTGCGATCCCGTTCTCAGCTTTAACTATGGAGGCCACAAATATGAAAAGATGGACCACATGTCTCAAGTGTGCCAAATAAAACAAAGGCTCCCCTAACTTGTCTCTCTCCTGCTCTGGATTGGAACAGGCCCTTCTGTTTAAAGTAAACCTGGCACTGGCATACAGCAGTTACAAAAAAGAGTTATGAACCTCCCTCTTCTCCTCCAGGTGAGTACATGGTGGCTCCTGGTCTCCTCACTAGTCTCCAGGATAACCTTTAGCTCTGGGGATACCCCTCTCAGAGGCTAAAACTGTAGTCCTCAGTAACAGAGGCACAAACTATAGTGGCTGGATGATTCTGAAAACAAGTGGGAGTCTCTGTTCCAGAGACTTGGACACACTGTCCATCAATTAATATTCTCTGCTCTTAATAGGTACTTTTCTGCTCTGTTGTTCCCCAGCAGTCTGCTTCAGCCCCAGAGCATGACAGTGGGGTTACTCCATATTCACAGAGCATGGGAGAGGGAAAATAGTCTGGCCCCTTCAGTAACCCCACCATGACACTTAACTCTTCAGGGCCTCCAAGGAAGACAAGTTACCTGGTGTCCATTACCCTCCTCAGCAGGAAAGCACAGCCCCATTACCTGCTTCGTCACCTGGAAGGGGAGACAGAGCATGGGGCAGAGCCTGCCTCATTAGCTGTTTCCCAGCCCTCCACCAGAAACTTTATTTCTCCCCTCTCCCACCCTGCAGCCCTCACCTGGAGATGAGATTGACAGCAGCATTGGCTGTGCGTGGAGGGAAGAACTCCAGGGAGAACCACTTGTCTCCAGAGTCCTGCCGTCGACGCATCTTCTCCCGCAGCCGCTCATGACGGTCAGCGTCGAGGACAGGGGTGGAGCAGCGTGAGCTGTCCTTGGAGCTCTCGCTCCCACTACTGCTGCCACCATCAGACTTGGAGCTGGAACTGGCACTGCAGGTATGCTGGGTCTCATTGACCATGGTGAGCTCTCTGGAGGAGAGGAACAGAAGGAGCACAGTGGGTACAAGACAGGACACATCTCAGCAAGGTGCAGTTACTGCTGGGGTGGGCAGCAGATGATGAAAAGGAAGCCTAGGCCAAGACCCAACATAAGTCATCATCAGGGAGTTCCTTTTGCCGGCCCTTGCTGTAAGATGTAGTGGGGGATCTGGTGAAACACAATAAAAAGCATGTGTTTAGATAGCGCTGAGAGAAGTAACACAGCAGATGGCTTCATGCCACTTTGACGCAGCTCTTCTGTGCCTGATGGGTCAAATTTGGCTCTCACAAGAGTCAGGTCAACATCACTTTTGCCTTGACTACAACTTAGTAAGCCATGATACCCATGTGCATCAGGTGAGAGCCTCTTTGATCTTGTGGCCTTGGCCTGGACATGCCAACAGTTTGTTTTTTGTTTTTTGTTTTTTTTTTTTTTTTTTCCCTACAGCAACAGTTTCTTGGACTGTATCCATCTTCAGTTTCCATTCTGTTTGTTCACAAAACCCAGGGCTTCTTTACAGTGTCGGTAGGAGAGGAAGTGCTACTGGAGCACAATGCACAAACTATTCCTATGTCAGAAAAAAAGCGAAGAATCCCCTCTGATCAGGCCATCCCTACAAATACCACCCTTTATTTTGTCTTTGCTGACATGAGAAAGTTGCATTTCTAACCATTAGCCTTCTCCCACAAGACACACCATCTCCACAGACAATTGTCCCCTGCACCAATATCACTGCACACATTCAGTGCTTGCCAGATATGCTGTTCGTGTTCCTTTCCTCAACAATTGGGCCTACTTGGAAACAAGGCCAGCAGAGACCATTCCCTTCTCGCTGCCTTGCAGCGTGATCAGCTGTGCCTGTTTGGTTCCACAGAAAGGAAAACAGCACTGCAAGTCAGTAGTACAAGTAGGTCTAGGATACCCAACTCCACTTAGCTCCCAAAAGTGTTTCACCCTGTGCTTTTAAAATTAGGTGGTGATTACAGATCGTTCAAGAAGAGCTGCCATCAGTTCTGGATCTGTGTTATTTGCTTATGTACCTGCCAAAACTTAAAATTGCCACTGGAAAGCAGCAAGCTGTCTGAGCATTACATAATGTTACAAGACGAAATGGTTGCATGAGCTAGCACACACTTTGTCCTTATCATAAAGTCTGTGGGTTTAGGTCATCCAAGAAGACTTTGAACTCATCTTCTACTGTTTACACTGAGCTGCCAATCAAGCAAAACCCTCTGAGAGAAAGTCTACTTTTACCACCTGGGGACCTCTCCAACTGGCAGGAGATATGAGAAAGGAGCGCAGGCCTTCTGCTGCCAAGAGGAACTGAAAGTCTTAAATCTCTTGTGTACCAACATAGCTGGCCATGGTAAAACTCAGCAGCACAGACCTATTGACAAGTGAAGCAAAAGCAACTGGGTGCACAATAACAGCCTGACTAAGCTCTCTCAAAGGACTTTGCCTGACATCCACGTGGCACTAATCTGGGGAAATAATCTCAAAGCATAGGTTGGTGATCAAGCTAGCAGCACAAAATCATGGGCAGTCAACTCCCAATATGTCACTTCTAGGGAGCATGCCACAGCACCATACGCAAATCAAAGGACCTCTGTTTTCACTCTTTAGATTTCATGCCCATTATGAGGGAAGAGTTCATATATTAATATCTCTATAGGATGAGACTTTCGGTTGAGGAAAGGTCCTTATCTCACTGACAATCTAGAACCACAAATACAGGAGAAAAGCCCCATTTACATTTTGTCTACAGGCAGCATTTGTAGCAGTTTCCTTACCATCAGAAGCATCCCATTTGCTGGCAGAAGCTTGCCATTATTGCAAAGAGAAAAGAGATTTTCTACACAACAAAGCCAGTTGCAAAATAAGACAATCTTAAAACACCCGTCGGCTCCGTGGGGTCAGCGCTCCTGCTCCTCTGCCTCTACCACGCTGAGCTCTGAGCAAAGATCTGCGGCCCAGCACATTGATGCTGATCAGCACGGAGATGCCCGTTTGATGTGATGTTGGCAGTGCTTGTTTGCTTCGCTATAGGGTATTTTTGCTGCTTCCAGGACCGAGCTGACACCCACACACGCAGGCCGGAGGTCTGCATCCTCCTAAGCATAGTTCTACCGCCCGAGCTAACCTGGGCTGCGCAGATGCACGCTTCACACGGGGCGCGCACGCCTGCGAGGGGCTTGTGCAGGGCCTGGGGGGAGCCCGGCACCCCCGCGGGGCTGCTGGGGGTCCCTGCTGCCGGGATGGGGGGGTGCCCCCCTCCGTCGCAGCCGGGCTGGGGGCCAAGCAGGGACGGAATTGCTGCCCGATCGTTCCTTCGACCTCAGCCGAACCCGCCGGGAGCGCGGCTCGGCCCCAAGCAACCCGAGCCGCAGTGCAGCGGCAAGCCGTGGTGGCCAGGCCCGCCGCGGGGTGAGGGGGAGGTTGGGGGGGGGGGTGTGGGTGTGTGTGTTTCCCCAGGCGGCGGGGGCAGGGATCGGGCCCCCCTTCCCGGGGCCCCGCTCACCTCCGGCGCGGTGCTGGGCGCGGCGCAGCGCGGGCGGCCGCATCCCGCGGCCCTTTAAGGCCGGCCGGGGGCGGGGCCGGGTCACGTGGAGCTCCCGCCGTTGTTTTTTTTATTTGTGGTGTTTGGTTTTTTTTTTTTTTTTTTTTTTTTTTTCCCTTCTCCAAGATGGCGGCGCGGCCTCACGTCGCGCCGCGCGGCCGGGGGCGGGGCCAGGCGGCGGGGTCACGCGCGGCGGGCGGGGCGGGGGCCGGGGCTGTGGCGGTGGAAGATGGCGGGGTGTGGGGCCGGTCTGTGCTGCTGCTGCTGCTGCTGCCGGGAGCGGGAGAGCCGCACCCCCGAGGAGCTGGTACGGCCGCGCCGGCTCTGGGGAGCGGCCGGGGGCGGGCGGGCGGCTGCTGGGGGCGTTGGGCGTTGTGATGGCGCTGGGCCCGGTGCCGGCTCCTCAGGGGCCGGTTCCTCAGGCCCTCAGGGCGCGGCGCCTCGGCCCGGCGCCTCAGCCCTTTTGCTTTGTGTTCGGCCCCGTACCTCAGCCGTCACTGCCGGTGCCCGAGTCAGCGTTTGCTTTGGCTGAGCCTGGTACCTCAGCCCCAGCGGCCGGTGCCTCGGCCTGCGCTGCTGCTCCTCCCGGGTGCTGCACCCCCCGCAGTCCTGAGAGCGGCTCTGGCAGAGGCTGCCTGGCACAGGGGAGCGCTGCCTGTGCGGGTTTCTTGTCCCGTGCTTCCCTCTAACCTGTTGCTGTGACAAAGCTGGGGTGTGGGTTCAGTACTCTGCTTTCTTATGTTGTGGGGAGCTCCCATACAGGAATAACATAGTGTATTCTTGCTGAGGGGCAAGCTTTGAGGTAAGACCCTATGCAGTTACCCCAGAGCAAGCGGTAGCCATACTCTATAAGCAGTAGCGGTATAGGCCCTCCATAATTTTGGCTTTGCTACCAGTGTTCATGCATTCATTCCCCTGATGATTTTCCTTTCCCATGTTTGTTTGTTTTGCAGACAATCCTAGGAGAAACTCATGAAGAAGAGGATGAGATCCTTCCACGCAAAGACTATGAGGTGGGAAATTACTGATGGTATCTCATGACATTAACGTGAGAAGATCTGTAGGCAGGTTTTGACCTCTTTGAGTTCGTAATGGAGCAGGTACTCCAAATGCATCACTAGTCAGATTGCACTGTCACCAGCAGAAATATCAAGAGTTGCTGTACTTGCAAAGAACTGCTCCTCATCATAATACATTTCTGGGTTAAAGCCCTGTGAGTAGAGCTTGAACATCTGCTGCTTAAGTCTGATTCTTGTTGAGAAAATTCATTTGCAGTCAGCTGCATTGTTCTACTTTTTAAATGTGAGATTTACAGGCTCTAGGGGTCTTGTGTTCTCATGAGTGTAGAAACCATCTGTAGCTCCTTGGTCACTATTGCCTTGCTGCTGTCTCTGATGTCGGGTTGGCTGACAGCAGATCTTATCACCTATTGGATCCTGCTTCTTACAGATTTTTGCTTTTTGCATTTCCGTATGGTGGCCCTGCACTATTTAGAGCAGTTGCTGTCATCATGGGTGTCACCAACTCAGCCTCTTACTGTGTGGCTTGATGGTGAACTTGATGTAGGCAGAAGCTAGTGGTACTTTGTGAGTATGGCTGTGCAACTCCATACTGCTTTGAACTGCCTGCTGTGATAAGCTTAAGAATTGATGCTGTTCATCTGGAGAGGAATTCCTATCTAGTGTTCCTGTTGTAGTGAGAGGTTAAATATAAAGATCTAATGTTATTCCCTGCAGTGTCAGATTGGAGTAAGTAAGAAGTAAAGCTGTACAATGTGGCTTCTTTAACTTAAAGTTGTATTAGTCAGTTGTTCCAGTTCAGGTGTCTATCTCTCTCAGCTTGGACAGTGAAATTGGTCTGTTCTTTCACTTCCTGATTCTCAGGACCTGGCTCTGCTGGAAAGATTTAAATGTTGTTTCCAGGAGTTTTTCTCGTACTGTTGTTTGCAAAACTTAGCATGGGGGTAGTAATGACTTCTGTAATCTTGAACAAGGTCTTCTCTCCATGTTTTTTTTGCACAATATGTTGCAGCTGATTCTCTTAAATTGACCTTTTGGCATTCTTTCAGAGCTTGGATTACGATCGCTGTATCAATGATCCATACTTGGAAGTTTTGGAGAGCATGGACAACAAGGTAGGGCCTTGTTCTTACTTTTTCATTAGCTTGAGAGCTAAAACTGTGGAAATTGCCCAGAGAAATTTTCCCAGAGAAGTTGTGGATGCCCCATCATTGGAAGTGTTTGAGGTCAGGGTGAGTGGGGCTTTGAGCAACCTGGACTAGTGGAAGGTGTCCCTGCCCATGGGAGGAGGGTTGGAACTAGATGATCTTTAAAGGTCCCTTCCAACCCAAACTGTTCTATGATTCTAAATACACTCCACTGCAGGAAGTTTTGTGGGGCTTTTTCTTCTTTATAAAATAAAGTCTATGTGCTTTCTTGGTTTCTCTGTGGAAAGAATAAAAATATGTGTGGAGATTATAGCTCCCAGCATCCGTTCTGATCCTTAGGTTCAAAGCGAGATGTTCATCACTTTCAGTTCCCAGTTTGCTGTTGTCACCATCTTCTGTTAATTATCACTCTATCTGTAAATAAACTGTGGAGCCCAAACCCACCTTTTGTTGATGCCTATTTCTATGTTGCTTTGACTTGGCTTTTTGTTTTGTTTGTGTTTTTTTTTTTTTTCATCCTCTTCCTGAGCAGAAAGCCCAGAGATACGAAGCAGTGAAGTGGGTGATGGTTTTTGCTATTGGAGTCTGCACAGGACTGGTAAGGATCATGTTATTAGGGGAATGAGGAAAATTCAGGAGACTAAGCAGGAATAATTTAGAAGTGAATGGCTGAGGAGTAAAGGGGAGAAAACATTCTCTTTCATTAAATGGAGAGTTTAGTAGCTGGCGTTGTCTTTTGGGAATTATAGCACATTGCTGCTAGATTATTTTCCAAGAAGCTTTTTTTCTTTTAGAATGTGCTGTGCTTTCTTTGCAAAGTATTCTGGCAAATCCTTTAATTCTGCATACAGGAAAACTTGTCTAAAGTGAGCGCTTAATAAGAAAGGACACCAACTTACAGTTGAACTGTAGTTTTTATGTTTGGCAATACTAGCGTCACTGCATGTGCTTTTTAGAGTGTTTGAAAATTAGCTCTATTGACTGTCTGCCTCAGTTAAACACTAGCTTTCTTCTGTACCCTGAAGTATGTTGTGGGTATTAAAAATGATGCCAGATTAGTAATCTGAAATATATCTCTTGCGGAATAATTCTAGGCTGGATCTATCTTAGTGAGAACAAGGCAGGCAGCAGATCTGAGCTTCTGAGTTACTTTGGACAATGCTGCTTTTGCCTTCTTCATCCTCTGTCCTCCCACGTGTGCATACTTCTTGTAGGACTTGCTAGAGGGTGGTCTTTGTTACTTATATGTAGTAATTTCTGATGGCAAATCTGTCTTATTTTTCATAGGTGGGCCTCTTTGTGGATTTCTTTGTACGGCTCTTTACGCAGCTCAAGTTCCGGGTGGTACAAAGCTGTATCTTTTATCTCGTGTATGAGTTTGTTATACTCAAGTGACCTTTTCCTTTCTGTTGCAATGTTTTGCTTAGAACAGCTGACTCTCAGACTTCTGCCATCAGTCATGTTGTTGATTAATCAAATTTTCAATTTGCCTATGTAATTCAGCCCTTGAAACCAATAAATGTTTCCAGTATCATGTACATAGGCAAAGGCTAATCCTTGAAAGAATAAGTGGTTTCCCTTCCTTGTAGCTCAGTCTTGAGCTCTGATAAGGAAGCCTGGCTTCCTGATGAGTTGTCAGCTGCCCTGGGTGGATTAGGAAGCGCAGGCTTGGTTCCTGATGCCAGTGGGACCCCCCAGACAGTACTGAATGATTGTGTGTTGTGGGGTGGAACGTTGTTTTCCTTGACTGTCCTTGCAGCGGTGGAAGAATGCACTGAGAAAGGCTGTCTTGCGTTGTCCTTGCTGGAGCTGCTGGGGTTCAACCTGACCTTTGTTTTTCTTGCCAGTCTTCTGGTCCTGATCCAAGTAAGACTTAGGTCCTCCGCTGTTCCTCACACATGCTCCCTTTCCTCTCACACAGGTCCTGGCTGTGAAGTCTCCTTCCTGCTAGAAGCACTTTCTGCCCCAAGACATCAAACTAGCTTCACAGTGCTAATTGATATATCTAAGCAGGGGCTCTTGGTCCCTTGCTGTGCTCTCTGATGAGATGTTGGTCAGCTATGAATTGATGTAGCACAGTGTCAGTGTTTCTTTTCTGCAGCCTGTAGCAGCTGGATCAGGAATTCCTGAAATTAAGTGCTACCTCAATGGAGTAAAGGTTCCAGGAGTTGTGCGTCTTCGGACGGTGGTGTGCAAAGCTATGGGAGTGCTCTTCAGTGTGGCAGGAGGTAAGAAGGGCTGTGGTATATTGATCTTATTGGGGTGAGGAATCACTGAAGGGGAAAAATGCTGTCCCTGCTGTACATAGGACACGAAAGGCTTCTCCTGCCTTTCCTGTAAAATTATTTTGATGGACTGAAGCAGAGTCATGATCCCTGAATGCATATATAGAGTAGAAAATAGACAGAAGGATCGGGACTATCAAAAGAACAGGTACTTTCCTGGGTGGGCTAATCAGAAATGACTCTTTGTGGCTAGGTCTAAGAGGGAGACATCAGAATTCTCTAGAGCACATCGTCTAGAGCAGCCTGAAGGAGGATGTGTTCTAGGCAGTGGGGCAGAGTAACTTGGAGAGTTCAGAGTCCTGTCTTTGAATGGTTCCATCCACTTGGAGTGCAAAATCAGTGAAGATCTTCACAAACATTTGGGAGGCTGAGGGGGTAGGGGTCAGCACCTTCCTTCGCTTTGAGGGGAGAGGGAGGAGCTGCAGGCTTGGCACAGGGGACTGGGCCATGACAGGGGACTAAGGAGCTGATCTCTGCTGGTATTGTCAGCATGGAGGGTTGGCAGGGGTGGGGCTGGAGTGTGTTGTCTCATCAGTCCTGTTTTTCCAGGTCTTTTTGTCGGGAAGGAGGGTCCAATGATTCACAGTGGTGCTGTTGTGGGTGCAGGTTTGCCACAGGTTAGTGCTGGCCTG